CTGACATTATGCACAACGGATCAAGCTGAAACTTGTAGAAAGGATATAGAAAAACGCGCGCCGCAGTTTGGGAAACTTTCAGATTGAACCGATGTCTTTTTCGAATTGGGCCGAAACTACCCCGAAACGTCCCTCGTCCTTTTGATTATGATTACAACAAGTAAAAAATTAGTTAAATACGTCAAACTTGTGAGTAAATCAACTCACACAACAAAATGGCCTATTTCTTTCTAAATTGAATCGTTTTTTGTTTAGGTTCGTTTAAATAAACAAATTGAAGATCTTGGTGGTGTTCCCATGGGATAACAAATTAAGATATATTCACTGCGAAACGCGTTAATGCTGACCGATTTAACGTGTTCCGCAGCGTTTCCTATTGTAGCAAAGGCGTAAAACCAAATTTCCCATTTACTCAAAACGCGTTTGGGAGCCACTATTTCAGAATGAAAACGAAAAGTATACCATCTCGCGGCGTTTTTAACCGATTCAGCAGCTGCGAAACGCATTAAACCGGCCACCATTAACGCGTTTTGCAGCATTGAGAAGTAACGAAATTTTTCCCATGGGTTGGATTAAAACAAGAATACGTGGCCAGATGACTTTCTTTATCGAACATGTTAGAATCCATTGAAGCTTCAATCGAACATATAAGATCAATATTATCATCAAGATCATCAAAAACTGAATATTCTTTTAAATTAAACAATATTAATATTGATGCATTAAAAGATTTAATTTGTTTATTAAAAGAATTTAAAAATGTATCTTTACTAGTTCAAATTTGTACTCGTCCATCACTGCATATGGCTTATATTGGTATCAATAAACTTGAACATCATTTAACTGGAGCTGATTTTGATCAAAATGATGATCTTATCAACATAGATGATCGTCGTGAAGGTAATATTGAACATAACGAAAGTGCATATTATTTTTGTACTTATTTTACTTTCAGGAACTGATTTTTTTTCGAAAACGCCTGCTGCAATTATTAAAATGTACGTTTATTTTTGATGATAAACATGTTGCAGCAGCTATTTTGCATCCTCTTTATCGTGAATTAACTTTTGCTACATCATACTTCAAAAGTACTGCTGATATGTACATTCGTGAACAACTAGATGAAATTCTTGGTTTAAATAAGCAACAACATGCACCAACTGCTGAACCATCGAAAAAAAAACATAAGAAAATGGAAGATCAATTTGCTGATCCTGATGATGATGTTAATAATTATGATGTTAATGTAACATCAACAACTATAGTTAAAAATGATGAACTCGAAAGATATTTAAGAATGAATATTGAAGATAAATATAAGCAATCAAATCCATTACCATTTTGGCGTGATCATCAAACTAAATTCCCGGCATTATCGTTATTGGCTCGTCGTCTCTTCTCTATCCCGATTAACATCAGCGGCGGTAGAGCGTCAGTTTTCACTTGGTGGTCTTACAATTACTCAACGTCGTTGTTCTCTTGATTCTGATACTGTGAACGATGTTCTTTTTGTCAGATCTTTACAACTCGTTCTTGATTCAAAACCAGATTTTTTTCTCAATATTAATATTTTCTTCGTATTTATTCTTTATTTAAACATAGTTTATTGGAATACAAAAATGCTTGATCTAGTCATATCATATTTATTTACATATGTTTCCTATCGTGTTATGAAGGCTGTTTTATGTTTTCATTTAATTATTATCAGATAGTACCAGCATGTGTAAAATGACACAGGCCACGACAGGCAGGCCAGACAGGTCGACTAAATTCACAGACAGACAGGCCAGGCCTATAAGAAGTCGGCCTGTTTTGGTCTCTGGTACACACTATTTTTTTAACGTTTTATGTCTGAAACCGGCGGGCGGGAGTGAGGAGCCGCAAAAAATCTCGCTTTCAAACTTACACACCTTATTTTCTTCGAAAATATGTGAGTTGAACAAAAGCACAATGAAGATGCGCAAACATTTTTACGTGATTATTACAGAAACAAAAATCAGTAATGAAATTAATGATGAAATTTTATTGTTGTTTCAAATGGGACTAAGATGATTTGCTTCTAAATTGCGTCAGAACATAGAATATCTTAAAGTTGTTGCAGATAAAGAGAAACGTTGCTTTCGTTGGACATAACTGACTATTGAAAAAGCAATTTCGCTTCCCATATAAGCACAGTTTGACAATAAAACATGTTGGGACGCAGTTAAAAATATTCTGAAACGCGTTTGCACACAGTTTTTCTATACAACGCGTTGAAACATAGTTAGAAAAAAATGAAACGCGTCTCAACGCGTGTCAAAAAAATATTCAACGCGTTCGAATGTATTCCACCTGCGAACTGCGTTCAAACGCGTCTATATTCTTTGAGTCGCGTTAAGATGCTATCATATTTCTGAGCACGTTTGGACGCATTCATTTTTTGCGTTTTAGGTGCGATTTTACTGCAACAAAGTTTGTTTCGCAAGGGTTATAGCCGTGATCGAAATCATTCGCTTACATATATTTTATTTATCTAAACTTCATTAGAACTTTTAATAAAGAATGCTCAAATAGCGTTAAAATAGGTAAAAATCTAATTAAGTATAAAGGATATAATCTATATTTCTCTAAAGGTTGTGTGAATAATAATGAAATAATATCGCAATAGTTTTCAGGTATCCAATGACCTTTTAGCAAACTGATAAATACTACTGTTTAAATTATATGATTAACAACTTTTATCATACTTCTAAGTAAATAGTACGAATAATTATTTATTCATCAAAGTGTTCGATAAAATTATATGTCTTGTTACCAATAAAATTAAACGTTTTCACAATACTAATCACTTCCAGTAGGTAATAAAAAATGCTATCATTTTTATTAAAAACAAAATTATTTTAAAAAATAAGTGAAAAATCAATGTTATGTGTTCAATCTCTTACTTTAAGAAAGCACATGTTATTGAAATAAACCATTTAAGCGATGGAATTTTCATTCAAATATATATTATTTTGAACGAGAGAAGATTTCGAGATACTATAACAAAGTGGTGTATGTGAACAATTCTGATCACTGGTTTATCTGTTCAAATCTTATCATCATCGCTTAAGTTGAAATTAAATCCCTTTGACAGGTCAGGCCAAGATCAGCGATAAATATTGAAGATGTGGACTCAGTTCAAATCTGAGAATGTGAGATAGATTCTGACATATTTTTCGAAATTTTTATATTTTATATGAAACGCGCTCAGATGCTTCGAATGTTTGACTAGGGAGGCGTTTTCGTTAGAAACGCGTTTGATCACAAATCAAACTACTAACTCATTCAGATGCGTTTCTAATATAAATCACATCTAAACCCTTCATTTGCTTCACTGGAAACGCGTTCACTCTGAGCGTTTTGCACGCAAACAAAACGCGTTTCCAGACAAAAAATATTTCGCATGGGTTGACTGTGAAAGAATCTTCATACATTCATGAGAGTATATCCGGTGCGTTCTTGACAAACGTTTGCGTCTGTACACCTGGGTTATGCTGCTTGGTTGCGTAGAACATCTCTTGGAAATAACGGCCTATATTTGAATCGTTATGTGCGACAACAAAACTCGAATGGCGTAGCGCAAAGCTGACGCTAACTAGAAATTGATCATAACCTATTTTTTCATATGGATTGAAACATGCTTGTGGAGCAAAAACATTGAATAAAATGTGCCGACCTTTTAAATGTTGGCGTGCGTATTGTTCACCGGTGCCGCTTGAATCAAGATTTGAGTAGTCCTGAATTGAAGTCATCACTTCCGCTTCATCAGTAACTACAAACAATGACTTAAACCTAATACCGCGGCGATGCTCTTCGTCAACAATACCTTTGACAAACAGGGAAATGTTTCTCCAGTAGCCATGCTTTCTATAGAAAGAGTCTTCGACAGCTTTGTCTCCACGACGAATGAATAACGTAACCATTGCTCGAAGAGATTCATTATATGGTTGATCATGCATGTCTCCAAGGTATATAGACCAGTGTTCTGTAAGTAAACGAGTGGAAGCTTCTATGCGAGGAGCAAGGGGCGAGAAAAATATCAAGAACATGTAACGTAAGAATGACGTAAAAACACGATCTTGCCAGGATGGAACGTAATCAAATGGTTCTTTTAGGGGTCGGTTAGAAGCGGTCCACTGCTTTAGATCGAAACTAAGATTTGGTGATTGGTAAATATGTTCACTTGAATGATCCGATAACACTCGTAATGATGAACTATATGTTACCTTACGCTGAGAACTTAATCGATCTCGGTCGAACAGCCATTTCCTTAGAGGCACATGCTCATAACCCAGTCGCCAGAAATCACGGAGGAGCATGAATTTCTTCTTATGATAGCGCCATTGATTCATTGAAATGATATCCAAAGCATTATTTTGTGTAGTTACATTACTCTGAGTCAAATATCGAATCTGAGTATCTAAAGACTTTAGAAGATGCATGTATGCTGAGCAGAGTGACATAGGAGCTATATGGCGTAAAATACCTTCGCCTAGAAAATCATCCCGACCAGCGTTCAAAATCACAAAGCGAGCTGGTGCTAGCACAGCCATTGAAGGACTGTACAAAGTTTGACCAAACATTTCTATAAAACAGTGCATCCTGCTGAAAAAGCCGGCAACCCACTGAACCATGATAATTAACTGTCTCTTTTCACATTCATGCAAATATTTTTGCGTAAGTGCATCTCTGTTCAACTTTGAGTCTTCTAATGATGCAGGAAATTGTTTATTTTCTAGGTATATCAACGTCTCCCGCTCTGCTGCTAGATTCCAGTGAACATCACCATACTCGTCGAGCCATAGAATCGGGTATGGCGCTGCACGAAAAACAGACACGGAATACTCATGGTTCGTTGAGTGAATGACTGTAAAATTTGGTGCAGCACTTCTTGCAATGGTTGCAAAGTAATGAATTCGTATGTGTTCATTGTAAGCACGAGAATTCGGATAGTATAAAAAGTTTAATGAGCGGGTGACGGCGGATGTTCGTGACTCTTCGTAAGGAAAAGCAAACGAGATCTCGTGTGCTGCGTTATTTTTATGGCGCGCACTTACAATAATTAGGACTACAAGCAACCCAGACCAGAGTAACATACCCCGCTTACGAGGATGAAAAATAAATTCGAGACCCATTAAAATATTTGAATAAAAAAGCTTTCAAAGCTCCTTCACACAAGTAGAGCTCGCTTGTGACACTCGATTGGCCCTCAGTAAATGATTAGGTTTTTCGGTATTAAATACTGCTTTACAGTGCTCAAAAACCTAACGTCCAACGTTTGAGAAAGGATAGCTATGAGTCTGGATATTGATATTCACAATAATGACGCTAGGCACGATAGCATGTGTTTTCCTATGATATGTTTTGTGATAAATTTATCCATCTAAGTGATATCAACACAATAATATCCCACGGAAATCTAAATGAACAAAAATTTGGTTGCAGTATTCACATATCCGGTGAAAAGAGAGTACAGTTAAATTTCGATTAGTAAACACTTCTCCTAAGTAATCAATCTGCTATACTGAACGCCATCCGGTCCGACCGGCTGATTTTTTCTGGTTTTGACCCCCTCCTTTATGATCACCTTGACATTCTGAATGTGAACGCGTTTTTTCAGTCCCTACCATGTAAATCAACCCCACATAATATGAACCGTAGTAGACAGCGCCATCTATCACTGAGTAAAAACCATGCAGCCAGTTGACTGATTCTGTGATTGGTTATAAAAACACGAAGAGACAATAGATATAATCGATATCATATTTGAATGATGAACTGAATACTTTCTTTTCGTTCGATAATCATCCATTATTCAATATGGTAAGTCATCGAGAACTTTTCTTGAAGAGAAAATAAATTTAATAAAAGAAAAAGATCTAGATGTTTCTCATCGACAACTGTGTGAAAAGTTCCAGATATCTCTCGGTGCTGTCTCCAATATCTTGGCGCGCAAGTGTAAATATGTATATAAATATGAAACCAATGTAAATAAAGAAGTAAAAATAAAATTTTAAAATGATTTAAGTCAAGAAATCAATGATAATGTGTACGAGTGGTTTCGTGCACAAAAAAGCAAACATTTTCTGATTTCTGACAATATACTTCAAGATTATGCTCGACAAATCGGCAAACAGTTGGATCCTTTGAATAAATCCAAGGAGAGTAGTGGGTGGCTTGATTGATTTCCCACGCGTTATAACATAAATTTTCGAGTTATTGAGGATGAAAGATTATTTCAACTATGTACCTGTTGAATCTTATGGAAATCTTGTGAAATAACTATCTTTTTTATGAATAAACTACAATAGTTCATCAGAAGTCAACCAAAAGTGCCATTAAATTCGAGGAATCTCTATATTTCTGCAGACCTCCTCCTATGTGATCACCCTTTAATTTGAACAGTTTGTGAATGTACCGAAAGCGTTCAGATAAGAGAGATTTACTCTATATTCAATTTACAGAGAGGATCACTGAAGAAAGTATATCCACGGTAATAAGGTGAAAATACACCATAATACTTGAGAACTATACTAAAAATCCGTGTAGTTACAAATACATGAAGCAACAATATTAACGGGCGTTCCATAAAGAATGGCCATATATTGTGTAACGATTTTCGAACCCATACTTTCCTTTAGTGGCCTCTTTTTTTGGCTTGTTTTATTCGTTATTCGTTTCTCTACAAAACGGCGGATTTGCTTTTTGAATGAAATCTCAAAATAAAGTTTTTCAAGATGAAAAGTGAAGACATCCAAAAGCTTGTACTTTCTAAATATCAAAAGGGTGAATCTCGAACGAAAATTTTTGAAGATTTGAATGGTTCCGTGAGTTCTCGGACTATTCGGCGGTGGTGCAAGATGGTGAACGAGACGGGTTCTATCAACTTATCGTATTCAACGGGTCGTCCACGCATTATCAGAACCAAAGGAATGATCCAAAAGGTGAAAAACCGAATGAACCGTAAAAAAAGAGTGTCAATCCGAAAACTTGCCAGTGATCTGAATATCTCAAATGGATCTGTTGTCAGAATCTTGAAACAAGATCTAGGATATCGTTTATACAAAAAAAGAGCGGAACCAGCTCTCACAGATCTGCAAAAGAGTAAAAGAATAAAGTTTGCAAATTGGGTGCGGAATAACTTTCGTGAGGAAGACACTTTAAAAATCCTCTTCTCACATGAGAAAATGTTCGATATTGATGGCATCTATAATGCTCAAAACGATCAAATATGGGCAGTGAGTCGTGAAGGGGCTGATAAAAAAAGGTGGTGTCTGGCAGAAGCGAAAGTTTCCACAAAAAGTAATGGTTTGGTTAGGAGCATGCTCCAAGGGATTGACACCATTGATCATTTTGGATAAGGGGACGGTGTATCATCAACGATACATCAATCAAGTGTTACTGGTGGCTTTAAAATATGACAACAACGTCTTTGCCAACGAATGGACGTTCCAGCAGGATGGTGCCAAGCCACATACCCATGTTGCAACTCAAGAATGGTGCCAGAATAATTTCTCATCATTTATAGACAAAGACCATTGGCCACCAAACTCACCTGATATCAATCTTTTGGACTACTCCATATGGGATGAATTTGGTCAACAAATCAACTGGACCAAAGTCCAATCAAAAAAGACTCTGATCAATGAACTAAAACGAGCTGTTAAGCGAATAAGGGAATCCGCAGTGTTAGGAAGTTGCCAAGGTTGGACCAACCGCTTGTATCGCTTGTCAAATAACAACGGAAATTATTTGAAATAAATTGTTGATAGATTTTTGTAGATCTCGAAAAGACGAATCTTTCAAAAAAAAATGAAGTGTCTAGCATGAAAAGTAAGCGAATTAGATGAATTATACGAAATGGCCATTCTTTATGGAACACCCGTTATTTACTAGTGTCCGCTGCAAAAAAACTAGTTTAGTTGGACTTCTAGATTAAAATAAATCGAATTTGATCAAACTTATAGTCGGAGTATGGTATTTGAATAAAGCGCTCACCCAAAGTAGTCATCGGATGAGACAGCTAATTTGCATCATACCCAGATACATAACATGCAAAAAGACTGATTTTATTTCATTCCATTTCAACGTGATCGGAACGAATCAAAATTCTATTCGACGGGTTTTCGGTTCTATTTCCTGTTAAAAGAAGGTCTACGAGAAAACTGGCCAATTTCGATATACATTTGCATACGAAAATTTGCTGTTTTCGAAATAAGTTATACCATTCGAAAGCCCGTGAAAAGTTATTTTTAACCCTTTCTGTAAAGCCCTTCTGGGGATATAACCAAGTCATTGAACACACCCTCACATATCTTCTTACAGCTGGTGGTTTAGCACTAGTGAACTCAGCTTTCCACATTTCTAGAAACTATTTTCTCATCGAAGACCTACTTGGTTTACTATCATTCAATACAGTTTCATTAGGCCTATCGCATGAATCATGATACAATAAAATTCTTAAAGTTAAATAACGATTAATAGGTCTTTTAAATGAAAAGAAGCAGAAAAAAAATTCTTTTTAGGAATTTTTCATGCTTTTCTCTCTAAACAGTATCATAGCAATGTGCTTCTAAAAATAAATTATAGGGGGAGGTAGCTCGCAAAAAACTATATCTTTTCATATATTACTCAATAAGATTGAGCGTCATAAGCCTAACCAACTTTCCAACACAAAGTATGGTCCCTAAGCTACTGTTTCATTTTTTTAATATTTTTCTTTCATTTTCGAGAGTACTATAATGTTGCATTTGCATATCATTTCGACTCCGTCTTCAAGTGAAAACATCAGTCTATTTCCAAAAAAAAATTTATCATAATACCTTGGCCCATTTGGTTTCAATCTGAATTTTATCAAAAAAAAGCTGAGAGTGCAATCCCTTTGGGATTAAAAATGTGAAACACGATAGTCACTGCTCGCAATAACATGAAAATGGCTTATGCTATGAAGTTTTTATATTTTGTGAGAAATTTTATTTGCTACTGCGTATGATGACTTGTGCTAGACTCGAAAATGGCCTGTAACGGACTACGCTATGTCTAAACCCTATCTATCAGTCTGTCATAGCTTCTAATGACTATCGGTCAGTCTGCGATGATCTCTTTAGACCTTCTGTCACACCTTCTGATGGTCTTTCTAAGCAGCCTATCACGGTCTGTGATGATCACTGAAGATCTCCTGTCACGGTCTTGTGATGATTTTCAGAAGCCGTCTGTCACATCCTGTGATTGTTTGTTGAGACTGTCTGTCACAGCCTGTAATGGTTTATGGAGACCGTCTGTCATGGTCTGTGGGGGAGATAGGGTCTGAGTTTAAAATTTCTACCCATATACGCTTAAACACTACTTTCAGATAGTGTTTCACAAAACCCACTGAAATTCCACCGAAAAAGTTTGATTAGCGTCCACAGAACTTTCACCATGGCTACTGAAGTATATGCCCAGCTTACCCTCTAATCCTACTTACATTTAAAAAGGGGGGGAGGGGATATTCTTCAAAAGTGTGGGTGAAAATTCTGTGGCCGCTAGCCCAACGCTTTCGGTGGAATTTCAGTGGTTTCGTTTTGATAAAATTCAGATTGAAATCAAATGGACCAAAGTTCGACGAAATCTACGGTAGGTATACTAAACACTACCCAGTCAGACAAACTATGAAAAAAAAGTTTGAAAACGCGTCGGAATTTTAAGGAAAGAAAATCGTAAAAAGCGCACATTTCTACGCGTTCATAACGCGTTAAGGGTAGTTATCGAATATCACTTCGCTCCAAATATTAACGCGTTGTGGACGCGTAGCAATGTGCGCTTTTTAAGCTTTTTTTTCGTTAAATTTTATTAATGCGTTTAATTTCGTTAAGATTTTTAACGCGTTTAGCTTCGTTCAAATATTAGTTTGTTATGAACACGTTAAATTCAAACGGACTTTCACGCGTTTGTTTACTGAACCGACGAGGAAACATCCTCAATTACTCCCTCCAGATTTCATCCATCTTTTTATTCGTAGATACTACGTAGTTTTCTAGTAAAAATTCTAACAAAATTCGGGCTTTTATTGAGATTTATCATAACCTATCGAATTTTGTTAGAATTTTTACTAGAAAACTATATAGTATCTACGAATAAAAAGATGGATAAAATCTGGAGGGAGTAATCGAGGACGTTTCCTCGTCATTAAGCAATCGGATAAAAATCTGAAATCCATAATTTTTAGTTTAAAAGGACTCATATAACCTATCAGTCTTGTAAATTAAGGTTATCAGTTTCAGATTTTTCTTCTGGTTATATACTCCGTTCATGAATACAGTACTAAATGATACACAAGAAAGAATTCGTAGAGAAAAAATGTAAAAATTTCGTACCTCCTAAAATAAAAGAAAGAAAATGTTTTACTTACTATAAATATAATTGCTGAAATTAATCTAGAGAAAAGAATAAATAGATATTCCTTTATGTAATCGTATATTTAAATGTTTTCTTACTTTCGAATGCTCCATTCAGCGAAATAAAAAATTCTAACATTATTATTAATTATAAATGAATGCGTAAGAGTAAATTTGTGAGGGGAATAGATCTGAACGAAAAAATAAATTTGATGTTATAAACATGTTCTCACCGAGAATTTAATTATTATTCGACTAAGTCTAAATGAAAGAAATAGTTTGACTTTAATACCAATACTTATCACAGAATTTGTTATTTGAATAAATCGACATTAAAATTGAGCTTGAAGTTTTTTAATTGTTATTTCACGCTATATTTAATACTGCATTAAAACACAAGTCTTGATCACAATAAGTATAATTAACTTACTACTTAAGTCTTAATCGTATACACTGTAAAAAAAAGCGTAGACCAATAAACGCTTGCCCTATCTATAAGTATTCATAAACCCTTAAAGGGTTTGTGATAGCGTCATAAACCCTTTAAGGGTTTATGAACCCAAGGGTTTATGAAAAAAAAGGGTGTTTTGTTTAAATATTCAAGGGTGAGCGTTTATGATTGTTCGCAAAAGGGTACTTTATTCTACGGTTCCAATAAAAGGGTTTATATTATTGTTCATGAACCCAGGTCAAACATTCCGGTCACTGGATCTCGCAGGATACTCCAGGAAATATGCGGCAAAGTCACCATATCCTGCAGGAAAACACAGGAAATCGCTGGAACATGAAACCAGTATTCCGGTCAAAAATACGGCCGGTTTTTCTGGCGGATTTCTGCCAAGTTCCGGTGCTTTCCGGCAGGAATTGATCGAAAATCACCGGAAAAAATCCGAAAATTTTCCAATCGGAATACTGCTTCCACAAAATCAAATGAAGTACCCGGAACCGACTGTTTCCAGACCGGACTGTTTGATCTGGGAAAAGGGTATTTTAGACAGACTTTCCCAGCAAGGATATTTGTCTTTTACGATATTGCATGGTACACTGTAAATAAAAAGAGTAGAATAATAAACCCTTGTGCTTCCTACAAATCATGCTGAACCCTTGAAGGTTTTATGAAACGAAGTGTATATGAAAAAAAGATGATACAAGAAGAAAAGGGTTTATTAATCTGAGATTTAGGGAGAAGGGTATATGATTTTATCTCCAAGGATATTTTAATACGAGGTTTCAATAAAAGGGTTTATTACTTTTGTACTAAGAGTATTTTACTCTGCGGTGAAGGATTTATTGTTTTACTCCATCATCAACAAGGTTTTTTAACCTTTGTTCAAAGGTTCACAGTTTTTCAACTCGTATATATATATATGTCGCAGGCGAGTTTGGAATCTAGTTGAGATTGGAATATCATTTTTCTCTTGTATAATAAAATTCATGGTGATTCATAAGAGAGAATGTTGATTGATTTCTCATATTTTTTCGACTTATTTGAACATGAAGATATGTGAAAAATATTTCTCTATCTATAAAAGGCGATAAGTAATTATTTTTTTGATAATGAGGAGATCTGATATTGAATTATTTGGTTAGCATTAAGTCTCAGATTATTTTTTTCTATCTTGCTTTCAATGAAAATCTTTTTTCTTTTATATTTTTTGAATGTCGGGGACATGGGGACATTGAATGATTGGCT